ACCCACCCAACCCACCCCACCCCAGGGGAGGACATCCATCACTCCGTAATCTCGTCTACATCCATCACACGGTAATCCCCAACCCTGCAGGAGACGGGACCTCCATTTATTCGTCCCTATCCGAGAAGACTGGAATATCTAACCATTTCTTGATGTTATAGAAAGGCAGCAAATTCTTCTCAATTATTTTAAGACCCTGAGTGTTGGCCCGGCCGGACCAACACTCAGAGAACCACTCGCAAGAGAACCACTCGCGATTTCCAAGACGCGTGCGACTGAGCGGGTCGACGTTTCTTCTTGAAATCAATTTTCTTGACTTTCTCTCTCTCTCTTTCTCCCCAACAGAAGTATCTCCTTCCCCTGAAAACGAGCCATGTTTCGTTTGAAACATAAATGGGTGTACTACATCCTCTCAGCTAGATTAAAATCCAAGTGGAGAATTTAATAAGTGGCGTCCCCTCGCCGCTGTTCTCCTTGTTTACATCCACTTCAGCAGGGATATGAAATTAGCATGTTTGACTATTGCTACGTCATAACAAAGATGGCGGATTTCAATTTGAAAATGCCGATTTTTGGAACGTAATTTCTCGCAACTAAAACGCTTTTAGCACAAAAGAATAGCCAGTTAGGACAATGCAAGCAAGGACTTTTTGATATAAGTAAACTTTTTCTAGACCGTACTTTCCCTTTAAGAAGTTTAATTTTTCTCAATTGTTATTTGCCATAGACGTCGAGTTCAACCTCTTTAATGAATGAGAAGCAAATGAGTCAATCAATCAATTAACGAATTAATAATTGAATGGCTGCATGACTGAAACCTTTAGTGAAATATCAACTGGAAAAAACAAAAGGCGAAATGAGCTAACATTTATGAAATAGAAGTTTTACGATAATAGAAAAAACGATTTGAAGAATGTTTCCAGTCTACTTATCTGAAAACCGTATCCTAACGCATAGTGATGTGTCAAGGGAATGTTATCATTTGAGTCAGTTATTATCATTATTTCTTTCACTTATTCAGAGATCGTTTCATTATGATTCTCCCTATTGGACCAACAAAGCAGAATTTAACCGTCTCGGAGGTAAGACTGGGTTCGACTCCCGTGAAACCAAGCTACCGACTTATTGGAACGCATCGTTTTCTAAAATCTGCCTTGGAATGAAGGTAGACCAACAGTTAAGATTCGTTGTGATCAACAAGACTGCTAACTCTCTCTACTCACTAATTGCTGACGGAAAGTACCGTGCAACCTCACTTGGTCGCGACACGTGGAAGTCGCTGATTGGTTCCCAAGCTTCGTTGCAACCTCACTGCAACAAGGAAGGGTTTAATCCAGAAAGCGGTCGCGGCAAAGCCTGGCCTAAAGCAAGGATTGGTATCCTTGGTAACCAGGAAAACGAATGTCAATCTTGTGACTCAAGGATTGGTTTTGGCACAGGGAGCCCAGGAGGAATACACGATGACTCCAATACATGCGGGAACGAGGCTACACACAGTGCAGATAATGGGAACAAGCACATCAAAGCCATGGGGTACATCCTGGTGCAGTAAAGCATCTCTTAATGTGATTTATGAATTATTCACTGTAACTCTTTGATTTAGTTATGAGGTAGTTGTAGAGGTTGAAAGCTAAGAAATAAAATCAGTAATGTTCTCAATACGAATGTTCAGAGAACTTTTGGTGGTTTCGCCCTTTTGCAAGTTCGCCTCCACCTATACCTATACTAGTTTCCTTACGCAAAACAAGTTTCTTCTCTGACGAAAGTTCGAATTTCTTATTATTAGTTGATATACACGGTGATTCTATTTTCTCATCATTGGAAGTAGGTTCTTATATCAGTATGGATAACAATAGACTGTTCTCAGGCGCGCGGTCTCTTGCTTTCCCTTAGGCTATCGAAGACTTGTACAATCCTCCCGGGCAAACGCCCTTCATATTTCTGTGAGCGCTGTGTGTGTGCGTGCGTGCGTGCGTGCGTGCGTGCGTGTGTGCGTGTGTGGAGGGGGGTCCTTCACTTGCATTTTAGTAACATTCGGTGGTATACCGGGTTGTTTTGCTTTTTTGATGATCTCTTTTTCAGGGCAAAACGGGAATCACATGTATTCGTTGACCTCCCCTTGGTCGCACCCTCTAGAAAAGAGTTCTCCACAAATTGCTTTTTCTGCCCGACATTTCGTCAACTTTTCGTACATTTTAAACCAAAACCAACCGCAGATTCAGGCAAAATTACCACTCAAAAGTTCCCTTTTGTCCACGATATATAGATTTAGGTCTAGAACTCTTTTGTTTGTAACGAAAGTCGTCAAGTCATGATACGATGAAAAGAAGGGTCACGCTTCACGGCTTCACGGTTCACGGTTCACGCTTCACGGTTAGGGTCATGCTTAACGGTAATGATGGTGAAAGTGATGGCCTTGTGACCGTCGTCTGTAACACAAAAAAACATTATGCGAGTATAGATTTAAGGTGCACCACAACAGAAATTAGATACCACATTTGTTATCAAATATGAACAGTATAAAACACAATGGAGTTGAAATATCTGATATAATCGGACGATTGGACTAAAAAGAAAAGACACGTCATCTACGTGCATACTTATGTTTTACAAAATCTTTGAGTAGATTTTTACCTCGGCTTGCTCTTGCATGAAAGTGAACTGTACTCGGAATCCTTTTTTATTGTGAGCATTCTAAAGATCGTTACATCTCTAAATCTCGTTCGATTGCTGTCCCTTCCTTCTCCTCCAAACTCTGTTTATATACACGCGTTGATTAAATTGAATCACGAACTGATTAAGAATCCTTAAGTATCGGTCCGCAACTCGTTTGGTATTCAGAGTTATCTGTTTTTGAACTGAACGTAAATTGGTGTCTCTCTCTATTGGTAATCTCAAACATTTGGTTTGAACCTTTGTTGGTTTCCTAAATTGAAAATTCTCGAAAATTTGGAAGCGAGCTATGGGTTTGACAACTATCGAGTGAAAATTTACAAGTCAAAGGATTTGTGTTTTCTTCCGCGTAATTTTGTCAAAATTAATTTATTTGTTCCGTCACTCATGAATGCATTTTCAGTTTTCTTAAATACTCACTTGTGAAGCAGAAATAACAGACCTAAATACCAGAATTATGTTCGGAAACCGAAAGTTTTAAGCAGCGATAGACTTAATAAAAGAATAAAAAAAAACAGAGGTTCTTGAAGATATCGCGAATGGATATTACAAAGTGAGAGGTTTAAAAAACGGTGATATTTTGCTAGGGAGACGGCGTGAAAATTTTCGTGAATTGTTGACAAACTTACTACCTTATATTAGACAGTTCAAATCCAATCAAACACTAAATTCGAACTTTTTCTGATTTGATCGGCTGAGGTTAACACTTTTCATCACGATGTCCTCGCTTGTTAAAGTTTGCTTTACTGTGTTCATCTTTTACGGTTTGTATGTTAGTCACCTGACGACTGAAGTGGCAGACGCCTGTGCTGAAGCGCTTCGATCCTTAAAGAAAACGATGCTTAAAAGGTTTGAGAAGCTTGAAGACGGCATATCCAATTGTTGTAGACCGCCACCAAAAGGTAAATCAGTTGGTGCCTTTTATTTGCTTCAGTCGATGGTGAAAGTGAAGTGTTAAGATGTAGAAGTGATCTACGCTGTTTCATTGATACACCAGTTAAGCTCTAACTAGTTTTCATTGTGTAGAAATGATGGTAACAAATAAAATGGGGAATGGTATAAAAAAGGTGTCACTCTCTCTACTTTACTGTTCCGTCTCTTCGATTTTTCCGCATAAATTGGTACAGAAACCCCTTTCAAGTTTTCAAGGGGCGAAGTTTAACAAAGTGTCTTGACTTGACAAGCTGAAGGAAAAACAACGTTCCGCATTACCTTTCATGTTGCAACTTGCAGATGAAAAGTTTAGCAAAACGAGGAGTATCCCAAAAATACAAGATACAGCAAAATATGACTTCCTTTTTCAATGAGTGAACTTTAATGACATCTCCTTTCGTAAACATCAACCAACTTTCTAGCATCAATTCACTTAATATTGAATCTACACCTAAACATTTGTTACTTTTCACAAGCCCCGACAACTGTTAATCGCGTTCACATCATAAATTACAAGTGCCACGTAGAAGCTATAATAAAGATTTGAATCAATAAGTTAAGCGTGAAGAAAAAAATCTTTCTACTGTTACTGTGGATAAAAGTAGTAGAAACCGCCGGGGTAAAATACTTGCGGGGCTTGTGGGTACGGCATGTGGTTCACAAACTGCCCCTGTTGCGGTACATAACCCCCCGGCAACGCCTGATCCCCGTGGGAAACAACCGGTGCATAGCCCTGACTGGTGGTCATACTTCCGGAAGCCGAGTGTGGGCGCGGAGGAAGATTACTTGTATGACTACTTGCGTGAGTGGGACCACTCGCGTGACAACTTGCGTGGTTATGACTTCCCATCCCAACGTGCTGCGCGGGGTTAAGCCCTCGACCAGGTGACGTCATGAGCGACAACAGATGCTGGTTTCCATGGTTACTCGTTGACTGAAGTACCGCGGGGTGGAGGGTTTGTTTCAAGGACTGTTGTTGTTTTTTGTGCCCGAGCGGCGAGAGATGAGCATCAATGTGACGAGGAAGGATGTGATTATGATTGTTAAACATCGGCTGGGGTTCCATCTTGCTGGGCTTCTTATTCGAAGTTATTACGGCCGGTGCAGGGTCAGTCTTTACAAATCCATTCCCTGAGGTTTGAAAGTTGTTTCCGCTGCACCACCTCGTACCTGAATATCAAGCATACATATGCCAATTCAGCATTTATCGTTCAGCCTAACAGCACGTCGATTAAAGCTTTTTTCCAGCATTTGGAATCACATTTTACCTCTAGAGAATAATCTACAACCCTGTGACTTGTCAATGACTGCCGTTGTGAAATAAAAAACAAACGCGCCCTTGCTAAACCAGTCCGTTATTGTTCCTGCTGTGCTACGCTGGAACAAAGGGTCACGATTTGTTAGTTAATCGAAGTTAAAAATGTTTCGACGTAGGATCAATGCTTAAAACATCAGTTGTACTCGATTTTCTGGGGGGTTAAGTTACTCCTATCAACTATAATTAAAAAAAACAAAAAAAAAAAACAAAAACAAAAACAAAACAAAAAACAAGGAAAAAGGAAAAAAGGAAAAAAGGAAAAAGAAATTCCCCGGTAAACAAACAAAAAGTCCTTTACCATGAAGTAACTTCAGACGTGGACCCTAGAAAGAGAAAACAAACAAACCTCAGAAACAGAAACTCTTTGGAGATCAACTCAGTTTAGCCTTCATGCAAAGGAGTCACAAAACTAAATCTCACAGATGATATTGAAATAGTTTTTTTTTTTTTAACAAACCTTTGGTATTCCGAGATTTTCCAAATCCTCCTCGACCATCTGAGATAGCCGTGTTGCATCGATCCCATGTTCCTGGGAAAAAATGGTATCATTCAAGTTAAAAAAAAAAAAATGGAACAAATTGTACTAAGGAAAAGAAAAAACGTCATTGCTGAAGGAAAAAAGGCAAAGAAAGGTAAATAAGCCATACTTCAAACAAGGGGACATATTTCTCCAGACTTAGTCGCTGCAACAGTTGATTAATCTCTGAATTGCCCGCAGGACCTTGCTGTTCCCGCCAGTTTTCTCTCATCGTCAAGCCAGGAGGGTATCCCTGTGATACACGCGAATACTGCTGCCAGGGGTGAGCAGGAATGCTATTCTCACCGCCACCCGGCTGCGAAAGATCCACGCTGGACCGTCTCGGTTGAGCGGAAAGGTTGTCACTCCAAGCATTGGATGGTTCGCTACTGCTCAAAGAGCGTGGACTCCTCCGCTTGGAATTCCATGACCGCACTGCAAAGTCGTCGACCGAAGGGCGTCCTCCCATAGAAGGAGGTGCAGACTCGGGGAGATTATGTGTGCGAGGCAGAGAGGGTGACGAAGGGGCACTGTAAGCTCCTCTACCTGGGACCCACTGTGAGCCAGTCGGAAGACCCTGATCTGAGAGCGCGGCATTGATTCCTTCTTGAGCCTCCTGAGGGGTGGGTGTCATGTCCTCGACAAACGCAGACGAATTCCATACGTTGTTACTCGAGGGTAAGTCACTGTCCATGATGGAGGAAAGCTCCTGCCGGCTACTACTTCTGCTGCTACTTGTACTGTCCGAGTTGTTCCAGGCCTGTTTATCGGGAGTACTGTCGTCGCACACAACCGAAAGGGATGCGGTATGCGGAGGCTGAGACGACACAGGTCCCCAGATGCCCGAGGACAGTGATTTGAAGGTTCCAGAGTCACCACGAAGATCAGGCGCCCTCAGGTTGACTGCTGCCGCATCTGATCCTGACTTCTGAGATGAAGGAGAAAACTTTTCTTTCACTGCTGAAATGAACTGATGTTCTCCTTGATAATCATGCTGCAGAAAATTACCAGAATTAAATGTCAGTCTTTTCTTTGTTCAACGCTCGAAACGGCCCTTTCGACATTGCCAATTATACAGGACGCGCATCACTTAGTGAATGGCTTCTCTCGCCTACACGCAAAGAAATACCACGAGCGATCAACGAGTGTGAACACAAGTTCAAGAAAAAGACAATTTAACAGCTGAAGAGTATTACAGCTGTAGTACGATAAATCACTAAACTTTCTATACCTTCTTTAGATGGTGATTATTTCCTGTATTTTCGTGACCTTCATTTGCAATTTAGGGGTGATATTGAAAGGAGAAATTCGATGCTAGTGTCTCTTAAGGGGGTAAGATTAAGGACTTCTCTCGACCAGACGATCATACTGCATGATCGAAGGTTATATAGAGGATATTACATGGCCGCG